GGTTAGGTTAGGTCAGTTTATGTTACGTTAGTTTAGGTTAGGTTAGGATATGTTAGGTTAGGTTTGATGAGTTTTTTCTTTTTGTGAAAATAATATGTGGTAGGGTACCATTCTGCTCACCAAATTCTGGAAAGAATCAGCATGATTCTTGTTGCCCAATCATTCCGCTGCCCCAACAATTGGGTGACCAACCCATGGTTTGGTGGGCTGGGGATTGGCAAAACCAATAAGGACTGCCCTGGCTGGCAGTTGGACCAACCAGCGCTTGACAGCTGGCGGGTGAGCGACTGTGATTTGACCAACTGGTGGTTGACCAGGTACCCAGCAGGAATACACCCCTTAAGCTGTGTAGCAAGTGTACTCATAACCCTTTTTAAACTGCCAATGTCTGTGCAGCAGGCTTTTGGTAGTTTAACAAGGGTGGTGGTTCATCAGGGATGGTGGTTTATGGGAGAAGCATACCAAAAAGGAGATTAAATCAAGATAATTTTTTTTTACTTTCATCAGCAACAGAACTTCCTTCTATTAACTTTGATCATCAGTATTTCATGGGAAAATTGGAACACATTGGAAATGTTTTTAATTATAAAAAGAAAGAATGGTGGTGTCTTTAAATTCCTTACTTCGCAACATTTAGACCTTGAAGATTGCTCATTAAGCATTAGCAAGTTTGCTTATGGGTTGGAGCATCATAAATTGATGAAGGTAGTCCAAAAATTGCATGCCAAGTGGGAAACAGGGTTGAATAGGATTCAAAGCAGATATTGCCATTCAATCTTTGTTGTAACCATTGGTTTTCTTTATCCAAACCCAAACCTTTTCAAATTATCACCCAGCACCACCAACATCAGTTGGAGTTCCACAGCAGCATATGTTCCTTCAGAGAACATTTTCAAAACTGGGTTTACTTTTTGATGGTTATCTTCTGCAATCATTAAGATTAAAAATGTATTCAATTGTGTGCATGTGAAATTTTTGCCTGCACATTTTACATGCTGTTGATCAATGAAAGTCTTCTCTTTTCAAAGCCCAGTACAGGTAATGTTCTGAACAGCATGCAAACATTTTCTTCCAACATTGTAGGGCACCCAAAAGTCCAAAACCTGAGAAATCAAAATGTCAAACAATAATCCCCCCTTTAAGCACTCCATGCTTTCTCTCCCTTGAGGGATTACATTCTTTTTCACAAAAATATTTTGGTTGCAATATTATGGAATTTCCAGGGTGAGAAGTTTTGAGAATCAGGAGGGCTTTAGTCTAGTAAAAGATTTGCAGGAATTCTAAAAATATTGAAAGGAATCCTTGAATTATTTGTCAGAAGATCCACAAATGTTTCTGCACATTTGATTACAATTTAATGGCTTAATTTTTGTGAGTGCAGTGGTACCTTGCACTACAAACATTATCCATTCCAGAGCTACGTTTGTAGTGTGAAATGTTCTTACTACAAATCATGATTTCCCCTAGACTTCTATGGGAAATCATTTAATTGATTCCCAAATTTGCAAACAATTGAAAAAAATTCCAAAAATTTATGTTTATTTCCATCAAAGCAATTTTAGCCCTTCTTGTGCATAACCCTCTTACATGTGATAAATTAAACCTATGATCCAAACTGTTTTGAACAATATTAAAAAAGAAAACTTTATTTTAAATGGGTTTTAAACTCAGTTTTCTTTTTATGTGTGCATTGTGAGTTGAAATCTATTCAAACATTGTTCCTAAGGGAGTTTTGCTCAAAACAAATACTGTAGTTTTAAAATTAGACTTAAATCCAAATTATCAGGGAGGGTAGATTGCAGGTTTAAACATTTTATTTCAAGGGGTTTCTGCTCACTGAAAAAATTCTTTAAAAATGTATTCTGCTTTGAGAATAGCCCCTGCAATTCACACTTTCTGAAAAATTGACTTGAGCATCAGTTTTGAAATTTTGGGGGAAAACCAGATGATACTTCAATTTCAAAGACATTTTTCATCTCAATATTTTTAGGAAGTGTGGATTGCAGGCTTTAAAATTATACTAAAGAAGTTAGGATTGCAGCAAATAAATCTTTGAAAATGGGGGTTGCTTTGAGCATAACCCTCTTAGAGACAATACATGTTGAAAAACAATCTAAGATGTTATGCTCATTTGCTGCAAGTGGTTATGCTCAAAGCAGACACATTTCAAAGATTTTTTTGCTGTGATCATAACTGCCTAAGAATAAATTTTAAAGCCTCCAATTCTAACTTCCTAAAAATATTGATGAGATGCAAATTATTGTCTTTGAAATTGGAGTTTCACCTGGATTTTTCCCAGAAATGCTCAGAAATGTTGTTCTAAGTCAATTTTTCAGAAAAAGTACATTTCAGGGTCAAATATGGCTTCCAAGGAGATTATGCTTAAAAGTCTTCAAATATAGGTTTTCATTTTGATCTCTTAGAGATTGTTACATGCAGGTTTAAAACATTGCTTCTGTGGACTTATGCAATACTCACAGGAAAATTTCCTCTAGAATTGGCTTTGCTTTGAAGATAACCTTCCTTGAATCAATGTAAATTCATGCTTCAGACCTGCTGATTAAGAAATGCATTGAGGGTTTAAAACATTGCTACTAAGGGGTTATGATTAAAGCAAAAATTCTTTGAAATGTGTCTGCTTTGAGCATAACCACTTCAAATTTTTCAATTGCATCTGTGAGCTATGCTCAAAGCTGACAAATTTTCAAAGAATTTTAGGCTTTCATCATACCCCCCTTAAAAATGTAAACCAAATTGTGGATTTATGTTTTAAACTTGTGACTTTGTGTTTTAAACCTCTGGATCAGAATTTGAATTGCAGGGCTTCCTCAAAGTAAAATATATTTAAAAAAAATTTTGCTTTGAGCCTAACCCCATTATTGATACAAATATTTTTTTAAACCTGCAATCTACCCTCTCTAAAAATTTAAATGGAGACCTAATTATAAAACTGTTAATTTTTTTTAGCAAAAACCCAAAAATGTATGGTTTTAATGAGTTTCAACCTGATGGAGACAATAGTCCTCAGAAAGTGGTACAGTATTCATTTGGATTTTAAAAAATAAATTTTTAGGATTTATATTTTAAAACATTTTGTTCAATGTTAAATAACATAAATGTCTTCTCAATTGAATATAATTATTGTGAATTACTTTTTCTGATTTTTTCATTTTTTAAAACCTTTTACAGAAATATTTAAAAAAATTGAATTTCCAAATTTTTCAGATTTTTTGTGTGGAAAAAAACGTTTGTACTATGAATTTTGATTGTTCTACAAGGGTGGAAAAAATGGATTTCTAAAAGAAATGTTTTTTATGCAGAATGTTTGTACTATGGGGGGTTTGTAGTGCAGGGTACCACTGCATTATAAATTCTTCAGGAATCTACTGAGAGCATACATGTGAAAATTATTCTTGCCCAAAACTAGCATGCAAATTGGATTAAATAGCTACACAGAAAAGGAAATGTTTGGCATTTTAAAGAGGGAAAAGGCAAAGGTAAACGCCTATTTGTGCCAAGAAAATCTTTTCCAGATTTCATTTTGGTCATTCATTGATCTTTTATTCCCTTACCTTCAGCATTGGAAAATTTTGGCAGGAACCAAGGGTGGCAGTGTAATGGGGGTCAACTGTACTAACTTTTTGTGAAAAGAATTGTTTTTTCCATGCATTTGTGAAATAATATGATGGGATGTTCCATGGGTTTTCCAGGTGCCATGGCCCATTGTGTGAAATGTGGTTTGACAATAATTGCATTTGAATGTTGTATTCAATTGTTGCTTTGAAAAGTGCCTGCTCTGAGGCCTGCTTGAGATAAGTTTAATTTAAATTATGGATTTGATTACTTCAAGCAAGGAATTTGTTTCAGAAGGGTTCAAAAATTGGGTTTAGAATGACAATAAGAGTGTTTAGCAATAACAGTACTGTACTGTATAGGTTTTGACTAAACAATTTTACTGAGCAGACAATATCAATTCTTTGACACTGCCTGCTGTATATAGCCAAGCTTACACTATTCTCAGTGTAATTCACCAATTCAGGGCCAGTGTTGGTATGTAAATGCACAGGTGGCCACTGCACAGAAATTAATTTTGCGTCAATTTCTACAGTTTAAATTTCTTCAAGTTTAAAGAATCTGAATAAACTGGAAAAAATCACCAATCAATGTTACAGTGGATGCTACATAAGTTGGACAAAGAAGGTATACTTGCTGCACAGCAGTGGCTCAAATAGATTGTAAGCCATCAGCCATGCAATACACCCTGTTTGAAATTTTTCCTAGAATGTACTGATCATAAACATGGTGTGGAAAACTGATTTAAACTGTATAAATGTGCCTTGGATAAGATTTTTCTATTTTTCCTAGGCATATTTTTATGCTGGTTATCCCTCACACAGATGCATGACACATATTTTTATATTTTTTGCACTCGTACTTGAGCCTGTTGATGCTACTTCTGCACATATTTGGGTTAGAGGAATACATTTGAGAGCAATAATACAGGTCTAAGGCACAGTATGCGAAACTGACAGTAAAAATTATATTGTAGAACATTTGCAGGCACTTGTATCAGGGGCATATATTCTTTGGTATCAATTCGTTTGGTTTTCTCAACAGCATTAAGAAATTATACAATTTAAAATTTGTAAAAAGTTTGAAAACATTGTACTGTAGTTGTGTCAATTTTTTTCATTTCATTTCCTACAATTGGAAGAAACTGACCCACCTTATAAAGCCTTTTCTCATATGATTAATTTGCTTATTATTAGTGCTTGCCTTAAGAAAAACTTCAAGCACTTTCCAGGTTTGCTGGAACAGTGTTGGCAATGGGAAGTTCAGTACTGTGTACAGCGTGTTAAACCTTACTAGACCTGGTGTAGCATGTTGTCCTGTGACACCGGTCACTGCACTGTAAACTTAAACCCTGGAGCCAGTCACTGGTGTGCGTAAAATTAAAGGGGGTGATGAGGATAGGGAGTGAGGGGATGCAGTGGCGTGGAGTTTTGCTGGCGTGAGTTTCTGCTCCGGCGAGAAACTACACCACTGTCTGGTTACAGTAGCTGCTGGAACTCATCCTGTTATTTCAGGTGACATTCACAGATGTCAGCATTGAACTGACAACACGGATTAAAACGCCCGTTTCCGGTTGACGAAATAAAAGTAGCTGGAAAGCATGGCCCGGTGAGATCGCGAATCTTTCTGCAGGCTGCGTTAGTTGGTGACAAAGGCGTAACTGCCTCAAGCTCTGCAATTCATCAATATCAAATGTGCAGCTGATGTGGTGTTTTACGCTGATGTGCATCGTGATATGCTCTGTTTTCCTACGGCGAGATACGGGGGTGGGGTGTCATTTTCAATTGAGCGTGAAGATTTGCTGCTAGGAGTCTGGTTCTGCAAAGCGGACTCCCAGGCCAGATCACCTTACAGATAATTTGGGTATTTTGTTGTGATAGCTCTCTGTCGCAGGTCTTCTTGTGAATTCACTCAAGGACGAATTCGAAACATGAAGCGCCCGGAGGTCGGGTCAGTTTTGAACGATGACTCGAGCGAAAGTCCGCAACCCGGCCCTAAGCGTCGTTTCATTTCATCTCCCCTCCGAAAGAGTGTCGCGCAACATCTTCTCAAACGTCGGAAAGAAAGGCTTCTGGTTAAAAGAGCTATGAATCTAAAATCTCGGGTTGCCGCGAATGGATCACGTCCAGACGTTCGAGTTCTCCCGAAACGCAAGTGCGACAAGGACGGTTTTCGTACCACTCGGGCCTGGGTTTGTGATCCTCCCGACGAAACCCGTAACATCAAGATCAGTTGTTCGAATCCGGGTGTCGCAGCAGTGTTCAAGCGATTGGAAGACGAAAAGATCGAGCGTGCGGAGTTTCTGGCATCCGGAGCTAACGTATCGACAGAAGAACAATGTTTGCTGAGTTCGAATTCCTGCGACAGTATAGCTGCCGTGTTTCCAAACGCCAAGCCTTCATCAGATACCGGAACTCCAAATCCGCAAACCCCCGCACCTCTGAAGAGGGGACTGGAACACGACAGGAAATGCCGATCGGAGGAGTTTAAGAGTGCATCATGCTTCAGCAAATTTGCTCATCGGATTTCTACGTTTATTCAAACTCCGAAAGTGTTTCACGATGTAAGTTGGAGAGGAATTCCATTGGTAACCTACATTATCTGAGAACATATATCCCGTGATTTTGCTGGTTGCCTTTTTGCCACTATAACCAATGATATCTAAAATGCTCTCGTTTATTTTCTTGAAGAAAATCTGGTGGAACACCGGGGATATAGTTTGTGCGGCTGGGATGGACAATCGAATATATTACGCCCAAACCCGTGGATTTTTGTGCGATCAGTACGGCAACAAAAGCTGTGCCTTGACTTGGCTGGTGCCGAAAACACCTCGGGACTCCGTTTCAGTGGACAACTTCGAACCCGCGGAATACCTATTGGCATATAACCAGGATGAACCTCAAGATCTCGACGATCTCACGTGGGTTTGCAGAGCACCATCCGATTATTATTCCCCAGTGAACGCACCTTATCGCGTAAAGCCAGCGGTTAATCGGGGCTTTGTGTGGACCCGAATGGGACCGATTGAAACTCCTTTGGACAATTTGCTTGTTGCGAAAGATGAGGAAACTGCGATAGCGGATTTAGAGCAGTTGCATGCATCCGCAAACTGTGATTCGGAAGACGGACACGTGTCTACCTTTTGCACGAGAGAAGACATCAATGATCGTGTTGTGGACTTTCTCATTCTTGCCGGTGAGTTTTGAATTACACATGCATTCAAACCTCTTAGAGCCGAATTGTTCGGGCCTAGCGAAAATTTGAGTTAGGTAAACGAGCTTTTTTATCGCGGGGATGAGAAGAAAAAATACAGGAAATTGTGATCGGCGATATTCTGGGCGTTGAATTGCTTCGTGAATGAGTTGACAGGGATGCTGAATTCGAGGGCAAGGGTTAATTTCTCGTATTATTCCCGTATTTCCTTTCAAAACACATGAGATTAAATTTTCCATCTCTCATCTCTTTTCCTGCGTCAATAAAAGAATAACCGAAAGGCCCACATTCGAGGCATGGAGGCGTGAGAATAAAACCCTTTGAGTTAGAGAGATTTATAATGCATTGTTTTAAAAGCACGAAAAGAGTAGAAAAATTCGAGTTACAGAGGTTCGAGTTGGCTGTTTGTTGAGGTTCTGTGGGACGCTGCTTTCATGATGTGATATTGTTTTTTTTTTTTACTTTTATTAGGTCATAAATTCAAGGAGGAAGAAGAAGCAACGATTGAGTACGGCAATGTCACGGTTCTCAAAGATCCGGCAATCGAAAAGGAACTTTGCTTGATGACCAAAGACACCTTCGACTCATTATTAACGTCGAAGATATCGCCGGCCTTCTTCGACAGTAGTCTCAACTCGTTGCTGGTGCAAAAGACTGAAGAAAAAATCCAGGAACCCGTGACGACAGACGATCTTCCCGAAATAAAGTCTCCTCGAGGTTCTCATAGCGAAGAAACGCTGAAAGACGACGAAAACCTCTTTTTGCTGCCTGTTCATAAGTGTCTGGTGGATCATACCTATTACAAGACTGCTGTGCCTAATTCTTTTCTGAGTCCCGAAAATAATTCAGATACTTCGGAGTAACTTTAGCATCGCGCTAAACGATAAAATCTGTGATATTTTCCTGTCTGGTATTCGGTTTTTTATTTTATTCTCGGAGAAGTCCCGGCTTTTGATTACTGCTTCGTTCAGATTACTCAAAGTTTGGTTGACGTGAGGGTTGGTGTATTTTTGATTTTTCCAATGTTGATGATTATTTTTTTGCGTGTCCGAAAAATAGCGCAGTAATCGAAAGAAACCCTGATTTTTTTGTTTTGTGACTATCAAGCTCGGGATTGGTTCGTTCAAACCTCGTGTCAGCTGATTCGGTTCACGCTCTGCTGTCGAACAAAGTATTTTCTGAATCTGTTTTGGGTTTATTTCATGTTTTGAGCATCTCTTGAAAAACTAAAATGTCTTCTGTGTCCTATGTAGTTAACCTGTGTGTCTGTTGTATCTGGTCGTGAAAAGAATTTTTAACCCATTTCAAATTTTGACATATTGGCAGATTTATCGCTAGATTTCTAAGATTCAATTTATGTGAAATTATAATCCAATGATCTTATCGTTGACGGAAAGCATGCTTCACGTTGAATTTGTCATCCATGATGAAGTATTTTGACGTGTTCCAAAGCCAATTTCATTTCTCATTAATCTGTTCTGAGTTTATTTCGTGTTTTGAGCATCTCTTAAAAAACTGAAATGTCCTTCTGTGTCCTATGTTTGCATGCCTTTTAGTCGAGTTAACCTGTGTGTGTGTGTTGTAACTGGTCGTTGGAAGAATTTTTACCCCATTTCAAAATTTCAAAATTTGAAGAGTTGGTAGATTTATCGCTAGATTTCTAAGATTCAATTTATGTGAAATTATAATCCAATGATCTTATAGTTGACGGAAAGCATGCTTCACGTTGAATTCGTCATCCATGATGAAGTATTTTGACGTGTTCCAAAGCCAATTTCATTTCTCAATAATTTACCCGTACCCCGGTTTCCAAATTCGTTCTTGGGAAAGATAAATCAGGAATTCTCGAAATAATGTCGGAAGTATCAATTCACGATGAGGAAAATTTTTGCGAGTACGTTCTTATTTATCGGAGCTGTTGTAGTTATTTTTTTAATTTTCTACTCTCTGCATGCCTTTTTTTCGCAGTGGATTTGTTTTATTAATTTTTTTTTGAATCGCCATTTGCATTAACATGGGTAACTATTTAGTCTGACTGGCTCGATTATGTTCTGATGTCTACAATCTTTTGATCGGTTGATCAAAGATCTTACTCACGCTGGTCTTTTGATTTTTTTTTCAGTGTTTTGGTTTTTTGCGTTGTACATAATTTAGAAGAATGGCTGCTATGGTTGTGGACGAGGCAGTGAGACAGGACTTGATTGCTATGGTGAAACTGCAGAAGGGCGGAGCTCCAATCGTCGGCCTTCAGAGTTAATTGAATTTTTCTTCTCCTTCCTGATGTGGAACTTTTAAAATTTATTTTCGCGTGTGGTTTTTTTTGGTGCAGAAGTGTACTATGATCTAAAAGGAGAACATCTCAAGTGTTCCGAGCTTGGATTCAACAATATCCTCGAATTAGTTGGAGCCATTGCGGAATTGAGGATAGAAGACGGTGTCGTGCATGCTGTGTCTAATGCTGACACTCATCACCTTGAAGTGCTCGTTCAAAACACGAATTTGAAAAAGAAGAAGAAGAGGAGGAGGGGGCCTGAAGGAGAAAATGGGGATTTTCAGCGGAAATCTGGAGTTCACGGACGTGAGAAACCCGGCTGTGTTGGACCTGGACCTCGTTCTCTGTGCAATCGCGGGTTTTCTGGATCGGATAATGCGAAGAATCGTTTGAATTCCGGGTATGTTTTCCCTGTGTGTGTTTTTTTGTTGTTGCTCGGTATTGTGTCCTTTCACGAAATTTGAGTACTTTTCTCACTTGATATATCCTGATGCAGTTGCTTCGAGTGGGTGAGATTACATCTGTTGGAGTAACTTTTTAGACTTGGCTAAACAAACGCGTTTTGCGAGTGGGTCTCTCTTCGACGAGAATCAGGGGACCCGAACAAAATTCGTTGTAGAGAGGATTTTTTTTTTGTATAGAACCAACACGGGACCAAAAGGATGTGTGTGTAGTGAGAAAATCTTTCTGTTCAGATATACATACAGTATGAAATTTTTTTTTCTGGGAATTCGTTCTGCTCTCGATGTTTCATAATTTATTCCTATCTTGAATCCAGTGCATTATGCCGGTGTTTAATTCAGGGTATCCTAACGTTGTTGAAGTTTGGTTATCTCAGGATGGTTCTCGCACGTTCAGTTCAATTTTGATGTTGTTTATTCGTTGAACTCGTGTCAATTTACAATAGTTCGGCTCCTTCTTTTTCTTTTTTTGGCCGAACATTGAGAAGTACGTGGTCCTGGTGGGTTTCTTCGATGCAATTACGGATTAATTTATGTGGTTTTCTCTCGATGTGATGGAGCAGGAAGCAATTATCCGATATTTTTCGTTAGGTTTTGAAGGTTCTAGAAGCAGAATGCATTTCGCCTTTTTTTTTTTGTGACGGTGTGTTTTTAGGTGTGAACTGTTGGGGAAGTGTACTTTGCAATGCGGGTAATTGAGTGTTGTTGATTTTCAGGGTCGGCTCGAAAGCTGGTTCCGGAGGAATTAATGGTGTGGATTCCGTGAAACGTGCTTTGCCTCTTATGGATCTGAAGTTACCATTGGAAAGACGAACTGAAAGGGCTATAAAATGTGCCATATTTGAGAATCGGAAGTGTGAGTTTTTGCGTAAGGGGTGTAGAATTTGCACGAACTATTTCAACCTTTGTTGGAAAGCATGCAAGAGCTTTTCGAACGTGTGTCGGTACTGGATTGTGTTCTTTTCCATGAAACAGTGAAATTGTGCATTATCGAAAATTGTGATGAATATTTAGTGTGATCTACCTCAGATTTCTCTAGCCATTTGTAATGTGAAAGCGTTGAACGAATTTTTCTCTCCAACCCTTGGCGAAATTGTGAAAGTTTTTTATAAAATTTTTTTCATTCCTATCTTGTATTCGTAACCCTTAATATTTTAATGCGAATTATTTCAAATTCAATCACTACAACCTACCATAGATTTTTCAAACCATTCGTAATTTAAAAGAGTAAAAAAAAAATTTTTTTCTTCTCCACCCCGTGGCGAAATTCTGTCAGGTTTTGTGAAGTTTTTTTTTCCTATTTGTAGCAGGGAATCTTGTGCGAATTTTTTAGATTTAATCACCACTTTATCGAGTTGTTTCTTGCCTCTGTTTCAGATAAGCACCTACTTTCTGCAAATGTGAAAGCCGTGAGACGTATTGGCATCCAGTGTGACTTGAACTCAGATTTCGCGTTGCCCGGAGGTTTGTGCACTTTTTTTGTTTTGTTTTGGCAGCAATGTTGAATTTAAGCATGCGCCAATAATTAGCGGGTTGTTCCACGTGGCGTGGTGATCAGATATTTAGTGGAAAAGAATGTCCCGCGAAGAAATTCTGAAAGGAAAGTGTTGCTTTTGACCCACATTCAGCTTCCCTTTCATTTACACTTGAACACTTTTTTGATGTGTAAAAATGATATGGGCTGCGCTTGCTAATTGATACTTGTTTTACTTATCTTTTCAGATTGGCACATAGACCCAAAGAAACATCTGTCGCATTTCAAGGGACTTTCAGAAGAAGAGCTTGAAAAGGCGGAAGAAGATCTCAGAGTCCGGTTAATTGAGACTCGAAAGATGGCCGACGATCTGAGTTCGAAGTTGCTCTTGGTTCGCTTGTTGAAGGTTTGTTCAATCCTGCTTATTTTAACTAACCTTGAATTTGAATTCCAAAGGGCCAGCAAAAAAAAAATTAGACTAAAAGAGGTTAAGGGGAATACCATTTTTACTGGAAAAATAGAGAAAATTGAAATTTATTATAGTGTTATCCTAATGTATTGGAATGCCAAGGAAATGAATTCTATCCTTTCTAAGACGTTTCTTAGATTTCAATGTGTATATTACGTTTCTGTCCATTAGGACTAACTTAAAATTTGAGAAGATTCCACTGTCCTTTGTGACAAGTCAGAGATACAAAGTTAGTCCTCTGCGAACACCTGTTCATATATTTGGAAGTTGTCTTTGTGGCATTAATAAAGCAGTTTTTGAAAGTCTGTCTACTTTGTTTCAGGTCAAGCCAATTTGGTTGGGAGATACTCATCCCACAATCAAGGGGTTAAAAATCTTTCAAAGAGGTTCAGAGACAATCTTAACAGTCCCATATTTTTCTCTCTTATTTTACTTGTCTTAAATTAATAGCTAAATAGGATAGCAAATTAATCACAGGTTTTTATAATTCAAGATGTTACAAGATGCATATTTTGGCAAGAGTGTATTTTTGCACTTGTGGGCTATCTGCTTCAGCTGCTTTTTGCTCTTGTTTCAAATCCAATTATACTTTACTTCATCACCTTTTGGTGATGAACCAAAGCAGCCATCTGGTTCATGCTTTGAGACAATTTGTAAACAGAGCACACAGCCCTTGTGTTACCTGATACTTCATGTTCAAGTGACTTGAAACAGAGTTTATTTGAAATCCAATAGTATCTCTAGTCTAAAGGTAATATATAAAGTTCCTGCCTAGATTCATTGACCCCTTCCTGCCACCTATAGTTGCATTTCTGTACTTTAAATAAAGCACATGGCTGGAATCCAGCCTCCAAATCCAGCAATATAAAAACCCCTGCTCTTCCTCCTAAAAATCAGTTGACTACCACCTTCCTGTGCTTGGAGTCAGAGCTTCAAATCTAGATCCCCACAAACTTTTTGTTTGTACTTTCCAAGTTGTCAATTATCTCATAAAAAAAGAGTTGGTTGAAAGTCTGTCAATATTTTTGTCTTGCTCCATTTGGTGACTCTCCCTCCACAATCAAGGGGTTAAGAACCTCTAAGAGGTATTTGGACATACTCTTCTTAACAGTTTCTCATTCTAAGTTTTCTTGATTTTAACCCAACAGTAAAATTAGAATAACAAATACAATGGTTCCTCTTTTGTGTCACTCAGAAATATGATAAACAGCAAGTAAATGATCTTGAATCACTTTCATTTTTTTCATCAGTAGAATATATTTTAGCAGGATTCTGGCTTGAAAGTTGGAGCATTTCTTTCTGGGTTCTCAAGATTTTTTCCCAAATGGGCAAACATAAGAAATGAACACTTGAGGCTTTTTCTCATTTCTCCTTAAAATAGAGAATTCGTTTTTTATGCGTACAAAGAGTTATTCATGCATAATCATGCTTCAGTTTTCATCTCCCAGGTTTTTGACTTTCAAGATCTTTGAAAAAAACTTTTAATTTTGAAATCTACTATACAGGTGAACATATTTCTGTCAAACTTCAAGGGACCAGCAAAAATCTTGACTTGGGGAGGTTTTGAGAGAGGGTAACAGCTTTTTGGGTACTTTCCTGTTATCTCAGTACCTACTTTCCTGTTATCTCTGTACCTTCCCT